TATACTATGAAGAATCTGGAATGATTTTCCTTTGGAAAACTGTTTAGAAACATAAATAAGAAAATAAAAGAACTGGGTACTATTATTATTTCTAGACCCTAATATTTTTTAACTAAAATGTAGTCTAACACTACTGTCCTTGACTGTTACTTGCTAACACACAGTAGGACCAGATAAGAAATCAGGAAAACAACAACAGCAGCAGCAGCAACAAGCCACTAGCAAAATAGCGATTCTCTCTTTCTGCAAATCTGTGACTCCTCTTGTTAATCATTATTTCCAGGTGATTTGTCTGTATTAGGAATGACCAGGAAAGTTAACTGGACCCTAGAGTATACCTTCTTTGCCATATTTAAGTAAATATCTAAGACTTCCAAGATTACCATATTTTTCAAGGCAAGTTTAGGGCTGGGTGGTTGAAAGATTAATTACCTCCAGAGAAGTAAAAATACTTAAAAAGAGTTCATTGTATCACTAAATCGTATGCCTGAAACTGATATAACCCTGTAGGTTAATTAACTGGAATTAAAATAAAAACTTTTTTAAAAAGAGTTAACTTTTGGAAGCAAATCTATTCTACTAATTATCAAGAAATAATTACTGGGCATTATTTACTATCAACATAAAATACTATACTAAGTATTTAGGATTCATAAAGGTTTAAACATAGTCTCTACCTATCAAGGTTTAGTCTTAAAGTAGACATGTAAAAGTAGTGGTCATAATGATAAAATATTTTGTTAAAATATAAATTAGTACACCCATATTCATAGCAGCATTATTTAGAGTCAAAGAAAGCAACCCAAGTGTCCATCAATGGATTAATAGTTAAACAAAATGTGGTCTGTACACATAGTAGAATATTATTCAGGCTAAAAAAGGAAGGAAATTCTGATATATGCTACAAGAAGGATGAACCCTGTGAACATTATGCTAAGGAAAATAAGCCAGTCACAAAAAGGCAAATACACTATGATTCTATTTATATGAGTTATCTAGGGTAGACAGAAAGTAGAATGGTGACTGCCAGGGAGTCAGGGGAGGGGCAAATGGGTGGTTATCGTTTAAGGGCTTTAGAGTAGAGATGAAAATGTTCTAGAGATTGGCTGCGTAGCAATGTGAACACATTTAATAATACTGAACTATACACCTAAAAACAGTTAACATGGTAAATTTTGTGTTATTTTAGTACAATTAAAAAAATACAAGTTGGCATAACCTAAGTACCAAGTGAGTTGTGCAGAAAACAACTGATACAGTAGCTCAGAAGAAAGTACAGTTATTAGATATAGATTCAGTAAAAGGTCTATACCTTATTTTGAAAGAAAATTGAGACTCAAGTAAGCAGATAGGAAATGAGGGAAGGTATGACAATTAGAGCAATGGCAAAGTGATAAAAGACATCATCCTGAGACAAAATGTAGATCAAAGTTAGGCCACAAGCCTTACTATTCAAAAAGAATAACCATGGAAGATAAGCTAGAAGGAAAGGCTATGAAATGGGAAAATGCTTGATAAAAGCAACTGTTCTCATAGAGTACCTTTCACTAAAATAAAGTCATAATTACCACACTTTAACTGACAGTAAAGGCAGGAAGAAAAGAGGATTGATAACCTCATATTCACTTGTCTCTTACTTACATTCTCCAACTCCCATGATGATGGAAGTGTGGAGGCACGTTTTACAGGTTAAATGCCATACACTGCAGAGATGCAGACTTATACAGAACTAACATGTGCATTTCATTTATTCTCACTGGCAAATTTTTAATATCATCATCATCTCTGCACAGAAACTAGCATTTTAAAAAGTCCCACTGTGTAAATGATCCTAATAGTACAGTGAGATGCATGTTTTGAGGTAGTTCAATTCATTAACAGTATTGTAAGCTATAAACAGGCACTGTTTATATGATAAATTAATTATCCCAGTTGCTATTATGAAATCATCCTCCTACTAACTGCCAGCCCTGAAGCAAGATAATCATTAGTCACACTAAGCCTACTACATTCTTTACTTAAAATCTTTTATCCTAACTCCAAAAAGGAAAATTTCTATTCTCCCCCAAGTACTTTAAAAACTTAAACCAAATGTTTCTGAGTAATCTTCTTGGATTTTAAGCTGTGGTAAAACTTGGTTAATATTCATCTCTTTTAAAAATATTTCATATAGATTACAGAGTGCTAGGGTGTAGGTAGCAAACCAGACAAAAAAAAGAATATTAGTCTTTTCTTAAACCGAAAAGAATCTACTTTAGATCTCTTAAAGCTTCCTATTTCTCTGGACTTTGGTGTGGAAATGATTAAACTGTTATATTAATTAGGTTGTTCAGATCACTCTTGTCTAAACAACTTCTGGATACCTGAATCAGAGGCAAACAACACCAGCAAGCAGAGGAAAGGAAACCATCTTCAACAAAAGAAAAAGATCCCTCTCACTGAGCAAGCATCTAGCATGCCTTAACTTCAGCTTGTGGCCAGGTTTGTTTACCTCCACTTCTGCCAGTCACTGAGGAAATTCAGAAAGACTTCAGATCTGACTTCTTAAGGGAGTGAGGGAGAAACTGAGTGAGTGAGTGAGTGAGTGTGTGTGTGTGTGTGTGTGTGTGTACATGCACACACTAAAAGAACTGTTCTTTTAATTCTGTTAAGCTCTGAATACCTGACCTACAAATATACAGATATGCAGATGTGACATATACCATTCACTCTTGGAGAACAGGAATTAGATAATCTGCCCAAATATACAATTGTCTATTACACTGCCACAATAATTATAGCAAAACAGATTCTGTTCTTGCTTTCCCACATACATAAAGAAGTACAATTTGTCAACTTCCAATCTACTGAAACCATTTCTTTAAAAGTAATTTCTGACTATGGGTTTTTTCTCAGTCTCCAACCTCACTGACCTCACTACAAACAGCCTTTGATACCAATGACCATACTTTCTTTGAAATGTTCTACTCTTGATAGCTAGCCTGTCCTCTCATCATCTCTCAATCTTCTGTCTCTGTATCTTCCTCCAGTTCCCCAACTAAGGACACCTAAATTTCTCTACTTAACCCTATTCTCTTTACATACTGTTTCCCCCAGTTATCTCCTATAACTTCAACTGTCATACCCATGGAAAAATCCCCAAACCAAGAACTCCAGCCCTAACCTTTCTCCTGAACTCTAGGTACCTTAAATACACATGTCTAGGACAAATTCATTAGGCTTCATACTGTTCCAAACCTACTTTTTAAAAGTCTCTGTATCTGTTCAAAGTAATACCATTCCTTCAGAACCAAGGCTTGAAACTTCAAAAATCAATTTTGACTCCTCCTTCTTCCTCACATCCAGTCACCCAGACAGCCCTGTTATGTTCGGGTTTTTTTGTTTTGTTTTTTTTTTTCCCAAAAAAAGAGTTACTAGACAAGAATGGAAATATAACCTGAAAGATTGGATTTCATTCCTAAACATATTTATCTGTATCAAATTCCAAACTTTTATAAACCATCATTTTGTACAAAAGGTGTACTGGAGCTAGCCTACCTACTTTACAATGAACAAATACATGACAATACACTGAAAATCCTAAACTGTTATATAAATTTCTTTATTCCATTTTTTCCCATTCATTTCCACTGTCACCCTAGTCGTCATTCATTTTTTCATTCAGTTTTTAAATTATTCTTTCTATGAATATTTACTGAGGGCCAGCTATAAGCTTGGCACTATGTTCGGCATTTAAGACATAACAACAGGACAAACAGACATACCGCCTAACCCCAGAAAATTTACAGCCTAAAGTGCAAGTCAAAAAATAGGTGTACACAGTTGTGGGAAGGTTCTCTGGGAAGGCTTCCCAGAAAAGGACATATTCAAGCATAAAACAACACATAAAACAAACAGAGGAGTTAGTATAAAGGAGCAGGAGAGAGTGGCAGTGGGGAACAAGGTGAGAAATTCCAGGCAAAGGAAACAACATACATAAAGCCCTCAGACAAGAACGAGCATCCTAAGTATGTCATCCTCTTTCCCACATTTACACCTTTGTTTCATTTATTTCTCTCCCTTCAAAATCTTTCCCCATTCTCCCTTCTCTGCCTATTGAAATCATAAATATCCTTCAAACCCCAGATCAATAATATATACTGAGCTTCAAGGACAGTACTTGACTCATACCAGGCCTGAAATAAACATTTCTAAGCAAACGGATGATAAAATCATCATTCTTCCCAAATCATAAATCTGCTTCATATTACAAGTATGTATGTGCCTCCCTATCTTCTCTTAAAGTAAAAGACACATTCCCATAGTACCTAATGCGTAATAAGCACTGGAAAAATATTTGTAGGATGAATAATTCTAATAATCTAAGACTAAACAGAGCTGTTAAGGAAGGATACTTTCATCTTCTACTTTCAACTTTACAATGATTTGGCAGAACAAAAAGTCTAGAAAATTCAAAATACTATTTATACATGAATTATATTAACATTGAACATTAAGATCTTTCATAAAATATCTCTAAATACTGGAATTTATTTTTGCATTTGATTTCTTGGATGGCTAAATTTTTATTTTTAATATTCATGAATGACTTTCTTGAAAAAAAAACTTCTAAATTTTAATACTGGTGAAGATGTAAAATTACTTTAGGATATTTTTAGAATATAAGAAGTCTTTTTAATTAATGAACCGGACGGTCTAAAAATATTATTTGGTACCTCATTTTCCTAAAACTAAGATGAATTAGGAAATATAAATTATACTTTAATTTCATTTAATGTTCATGATATCATTTTTGGAATCATGCCTCAAGCCACACTGCAGAATTTGTTATGCAATTTATAATTTGTTATGAGAAAAACCTAAATAAAATCTGGGTCGTTCCATTTTTCAGATCCAAGGAGGCCAAGTGCAAAGTAAAAAGAAGCTTTCAAAGAAAAGGCAAAAATGTCAAAAACAAAAACAAAAACAAAAAAAACCCCTCTCTTACTGCATAGTAGTACCTGTAGGAAAAGCAGCCCAAGGAATAGCAGGAGATGTAGTTTGGGTTTCACCATTTCCACCATCAAAAATCTCTGCAGCCTACGAAAAAAAAGGCAAATTTATTTTAGAAGATCTAAAAAGTCGAAATGCTATTTGCAATCAAGCCTTCCAAACTCTACAACATATTCTCTGTGAGATACTCTCCAAATTACTCACAACTGCTTTTCCGTCTTCACTGCTATCACCCCAAACACTGCTCACTACCCCCAGTACTCAGGCTGCATTATTTGTAAGTAGAAACCTTCCTTCCTTACTAAAATATATCTCTTGCCAATGAAATTTTTAATCTGTATATCCTTGATCACATTTTCACTTGTGAACTTTGTATCTAAGAACTCTAAACAAACTCACCACAAATAAACAAACTCACCACAAATTGGCTTGTGTATATAACAAAAAATATATTTTACTTTAAAAGTATTGACACCAAATCTTTTTCATTAATTAGTACAAAAGCTAATCGAGATCAATCTAAAGAAATAGATTAAAATAATATAGATTATTCATCTGTATTCTTGAATAATCTACCAGGTGGATGAACTGGCAATCAACATTTAGAGAATTCCTAAAGCTGATGTTTTAAATTAACAAGTCTTCCTATTAAACCGTTTTAAAAGTAAAAGACAGTCAATTACTGACTGCTGAGTTTGTGGGTAAGAGTGAAGAGTGTTCTCTCCCTTAAGTGTCCAGGTCACAGCAAAATTATTGCTGAGAAAAGGAGCCAGAATTTCAGTTTGGATTCCACATTGAGTTATCAGCCAAAAAGAAGTCAACTGAGGCAATCTGCCATGGAAGCTAACTGATGTAGAATATAGTAAGTACTATCTATACACTATGAAAAATGAACACGGTTTATATAACCAAGGATAGAGACCTTCCATATTTCTACAACTGGATGTAAAAAGAAAGAAACCTAATAACCAATTAAATTAGAGTGATTGGTTAACATTGTAAATATTTAATACTGAAAGGAATAGATCCATCGACTGCAACAATCAAGTATAATTTTACTCTGAGGTAAACTAGCCACTTTATTTTTCTCTGATATAATAAATCAAGCATGGTTTAAATAAAGGAGACCATGCTAGGTTTTAACCTTCAAATAACTGACAACTTCTAAACAATAAACTAAGATGATATCTGAAACATATATTATCCACAAAATGAAAGGAATTTCAACAGAATTTTAAATATTACATTTCAGTAAAAGATTAAATCACCCAACAAAACCCAAAATATTAAAGAAAATGGAAAAAACATACGAATATGCTAAACAAACACCCGTTTCAGGTGACATAAACAATACAGGTATGTTCATATTCCAAATATATCCATCTTGACAAATAAAGATCAATGGACAGGAAAAGGACCCTAATTTAAAAAACTCACACCATTCTTTCATGATATTCAGAATACTGAGTATATATTTAATTTCTTGTTTCTCCTATAAAGCCATTAATTAAACTACCTGTTTTTAATAAATAATCTCGTTTTTACCAAATTCCAAAGTAGACGAAAATCTTACTAAAAAAAAAAAGTCACAGAGCTCACTTAGTAGTTCCAGGACTTGAGCTCAGGCATCCTGACTCTTAATCCAGAGATTTTCCTGCAAGACTATACTGGCTCCATAAAAATAACTGGGTTACAAAATATTTCAATAAAATGAACACACACTGAAAAGGATTAAGGAAAAGGCAGTGCTTCTTCAGCTAACAATTTCCACCTACAAAGCATCCAACTCAACCCTGAGAAAATAATCTAACAACACAAACATACTAATTAGCTCTATAAGCCACCAAAAGGCTATGTATTTAATATACTAAGCCAACTCATTACAGGTGTAAACATGAAAATATATGGCAGATCTGCAATATTCATCCCTCATCTCACAAGTATTTCATAATAGAAACGTATCCCAGCAAAATCATCAGCTGACAATTTTTAAAACTTCTTTAATGCTTCCACTAGTAGCACTTAATTATCTCAATTTACACCTTTCTGATGGGCATGACCATATGTTCAATAATAATAAATCATTTTTATCTTTCAAAAGGGATGCATTTTAATTTTCTTTGATTTCATTTTTTATTCCAGTGTTATATTAAAGATAATCAAGAAATGATCATGACTACCAATGATAAATAATACATTTTCAAAATAGTATATACTCCATTATAATCCCACAAAATTAAAGCAATTACATAAGCAAAATAAGGTAACTGCACATACCTCAAAACCACCAAAATCATCATCATCCATTCTTCAAGTGCACCTGAAAAATCAGAAGACATTGAAACAAGCCCACACACACAGTTATTTATGTCAAAATATTTTTCTGACTTAAACATATATACATTTTGACTTGCAAACTAACACTATTTTATTTGGGTTTTAAAAAACTACTTTTTAAAAACTATATGGGTATTCATTTTTTAATGCAAAAAGATTGAGGGGTTTTTTTGGCAAAATTAGCCATTCAGGCAAAATTAGCAATTTCTGTGACTTTTTCAGCAACCATGTATTTTGCCATTTTGTGTGGAGATGCCAGGAGTGGAAAAATATTCTTTTACATTTTAATTTGCTTTTCCCAAATTGGCGCTAGGGCTCAATTCAATAATGCTTCCTGCTTTTTGCATCTATTCCTCAGTTGTCTGGCAACATCAGCACAAACTCCAGCTAAGAACAGGACTGTGGTGAATTTTTGGAAATCTGTCCCCTACCACAAAGGTTCTTCCCTCGGTTTCATGGCCGAGGTTGATTTAGATTTTCAAAATTGATCAGCATTTTTGAGCTGTGGCCACAACTTCTGGAGCATTTTGATATGTGTATTTTTAGCTGAAACTGCTTTGCACTTTTGGAAAAATGTGGAGCAAGTTACTAGGCTGATCAAGATAAATCAAGTCATGTATTCATGGGAGACCAGGGAAGAGAAAAACACAAGTGAATATCCTGAATTCCTCTCTTCTTTACACTTAAACTATGTAAGACAAGCAGTAAGATAATACATGCAATATTTTGTCCTAAATGTGTACCATAAAAATGGAAGGAAAAACCATGAGTACCTGGACTTTAAAAAGAATAAAAAGAAAAAGCTTTTATCTAACAAACCACTAAAAAACCAAACTTTTACTTTTCCAAAGCCTGGAAAAGTAAAACAAGCAATAGATGGTATACATTTAAATGAATAATAAATTTACAATAAATACTGATTTAGTAGCCACAAGTACCACTCTGGTCAATAATAACTGGCTTCCTTTCTTATCTTTCAAAAGTGAACTTATCCAAATTATTAATTATTGTTTCCTTGCCTCACTAATACAACATGAACTTGATTGCAGGAAAACAACCTTCTCCAACTTCTAAAAAAACACAACAAAACAAATAAAACCATGTTAAGCAATAATTCTAAAGGCATTTTCCTAAGGCACTTTACTTTAACTGATAAAGCAGTAGTCATCTTTAGCCATGTCTTGCCTTGTCAGTGAAATTATTATTAATGACTTCAAAAATAAATTCAAAAACCAGTCAAAGAAAAAGTTACAATAAAACACAATCTGAAGGATTGTTTTGTTTTAATAGACAAAGAAAATTTATTTTCACAGAAACTCAGTAGGTAATGACACTGAAAGGAATATATGTAGACAGAAGTACATTATAAAAAGGAAAGACATTAACTTAATCAAAATGAGGTACCACCGTGGTCACCATTACCTACAATTTAATAGTTTGATGAAATTTTTTAAAAGATGTATTTCTCAAAAAATTCAAAGCTAACCAAGTCATCCACATACAACACTTAAAAAATACAAACCAGACTTTCAGAATCTTTTGATGGTGGTTATTTTAAAATGGAATTCACATTAATTCTGTGTCGCAAGCAAATAGAAATCTGTATGTGATTACATTTTTCATGAAGAAATTATGAAATAACAGTGATATGGATACTGAGAATTAACCAAGGCTAACTATAAACACTAAGTTTGTGTTTTCCACATGCATCCCACGAATCTCAGGAGACAATTAAAAAATATTTTTAGCATCTACCACACTATATCCAAATAATATGGGTTCAAAAAAACAGAATTTCTGGAGTAATGCTTCTATGTGTTTTATAAATCATAAATTATTTGTAAGACACCAGAAAACTTGCAAATAAAAACAAATAGCCATGTATAACAATCACTTCAGCTTGTTTGCCTGTGGTAATGAATCAAATACCATCAATTTTCTAAGTAATGATTTAACTCTACAAAAGAATGTATTAATGACTACTGATGTTTTCCAAACCCCAACAACCTTTACATATTAAAATGCAGGGAGGGGGGGATGGGCATGAAGGAGGGCACTTTGGGGATGAGCACTGAGTGTTATGTAGAAACTAATTTGACAATAAACTATTTGTAAAAAAAAAAAATAAAAAAAAAAATAAAAAAAAAACAAAAAAAAAAAAAATAAAATGCAGATGACAGTCTTCTACTTTATTTTAAAAGATATGAAATATTAACACATTTTAAAAGATAAATGTGTTTTGGGGTACCTGGGGGGGCTCAGTCCACTAAGCATCTGCAATTCTTACTTTCAGCTCAGATCTTAATCTCACTATTTGTGAGATGAAGATAGAGCCCTGCTTTGAGTTCTGCGCTAACAGTGTAGAGCCTGCTTGGGACTTTCTCTCTTCCTCTCTCTGCCCCTCCCTAGCTCTCTTTCTCTCTCTCAAAACAAATAAACTTAAAAAAAAAATAAATGTGTCTTGAGTTTCTTAAAATACAATAATTAGAGAAATATTATTTTAAAGCATTAACATTTCTCCAAATAATTTAGTTTCAAATCCTGCAATAGTTCCTGTTTCTTTTTAAGCATTACAAAGAAATACTCTGGTTTCTCTTCAGATCGCATAAATCTTTCACCTTTTAAGCATTACAAAGAGCAGAAGGAAGTAATATTAACAGCACTGGATTGTAAAAATCAATTTTACTAAATACAAAAGCTAAAAATTAGTTTTTAAAAGGAAATATTACAACTGTGGTCTTATTTACAGATTTAACTACTCCAGCACATTTAAAACATGATTTTATCAAACATGCATTTATCATTTTTTAAAATATTTCTAGCATTTAACATTATACCCCATTAAACTACAAATGTCATACAGCAACACAAATATACCTGTCGTGTAAGTTACAGAGTCATGAGCCTGACCAAAAACTTGATAGATCATGCAGTTCATCTTTTGTGTCATGGCAGGAGATAAGATGAATACTTTGTTATGATTAGATATCTACATTGAATGATTTCACAGCATCTAGTTTAACAATTCTCAGACTTCTTTATATCTGAATTTGATCTCTTCTGTTGCACTACTGTATATATTCCCTGCTTTATTGTCCTCAGTATTTAATATGTTGCTGATATTTTATAAGAAAAACATATATACAACACTTAATGTAACAAATTTTTATTAAGCAACTCTGTAGAAATGAGCAGTCAAGACCCTCAAGGTGTTATCATCTAGGGAGAAGTGGATGGGGGGAAGGGTGTAAGAAAACCACGCAAATTTTAATAATATGAGCTATAAAAAAGGCTTAAGAAAGATGAAAAATGTCTAAGGTGGAAGAAAAGACTTTCAGATGGTGATATTATCTAGTAGGAGCATCATGAAATGCCTCAGGTGGGAAATATTTGAAATCTATTTCAACAGACCTAACAAAGAATTTTAAATGGCACATTAAGAACATGCATTTTATTAGTCGTTTCCTAAAAGGTAGCAAAGATTTGTTTTCATTGTTTGCTTCTGCATAAACACAGGGTCAAAGAGAATGTGAAATGAAAACACTGCAAAAAATTTTGAGAACAAATACAAGAAAGATGAATCTAAAACTACCAGTGGAGAAAATAAGAATTAATCACATTTACATCAAAGAATCCACAAAAGGCATAGGAGTGCATGTCAATGAAAGTTAAGTAAAGGTAAGACTCAAAATAAGAGTAGTAGATATATCCCAAGCTCCCCTTCCGCAATCTGCACAACAGGACAATTTAGAGTTCTTCATCACACCAGAAGACTGGGCTTATTCCCTGCACAGGGTAAAGCCAAGGGTCTCTGAATTAGAGGACACTGAGATAGCTGGACAAAGTCAAAGTTGTATGTAATATTGATACCCATTCCCTCAGTCCTCTTTCACACTTGGCAACCAAACTACCAGTAGCTAGGTTTCAATCTCAAGTCATCAGATTAGAAGATTCTTCTCTGGTGAATCCAATCAACTCATGAAAAAGGACCTCATCAGAGGCACCACCAAAAAAGAAAAAAGAAAAAAAAAAAAGTTCACTCAGGTAACACTACTTTGACAACTCCTATACACATGCACAGAATTTCCAATTTGCTCCTGATTTCAGTAAGAGAATGAATAGCATAAAGGCTAAAAGAAAAGACTATCGAGTCAGGTTGCCGAGATTCAAATTCTAGCTCTGCTTCTTAACTGTGTTACAATGGGCAAGTTATTTAAACTCACTTTCCTCATCTGTCAAATAGAGATAATACTACCACCACTAATAATAATGGTAACTAGCTCTTAAAGTCATTATGAGGATTATATAAATTAAAATGGATGAAGCACTTATGACAGTGTCTGGCAAATTCTAAGTATTATATAAGTGTTTGTTATTTTATTAGGAGTATTTCACTCTTCATATGAGCAGATGGCTAAGGACAATAAAAGATGAAGGAAGTATCTAATATAAAAAACAAAAGACCAAACCAAAAAGGAAAGAAGGACAGAAGAAACAGAGACTACACAAGAAAATTTTCAAAAAAATAAAATATAACTAGTACTTTCAGAGAATTAACAACAGAAGATAGTACATCCATGGAATAAGAAAAGGAAGCCTTCATTTGAGGGAAGAAGGGGAAGAAATGAGAAAGGAATGTGCACCAAGACTAAGATCTTGAAAATAAAAATGATTACAGAAATGAAAATTGCAGGGTGGAAAGTAAAGCTGAGGAAATTCCTTTTAACGAGGAGTATAAACGAAACAGAATTGAAAAGTCAGAGTGAAAACATAAGAAACATACGATCCAGTCCAAAACATGCAATATCTAATCATTAGGAATTCTAGAAAGACAAAATAGAAAAAAAAAACAAAAAAAAACAAACAAAACAAGGAAAGAAATCATCAACAACATAATTCAAGAAAATTTTCTAGAGGCACGTGGGTGGTGGCTCAGTCAGTTCACTATCTAACTCTTGATTTCGGCTCAGGTCATGATCCCAG